ATGCGGCGTAGCAAGGAATCGGGGGGGACATCACGGGCCATCGACCGGCAGTTCCGTGTTAGGCATCTCGTCGGGTTTTGCTATGGGCAGCTTCCTGTTGTGTTGTGTGGAGGTTAAGGTTGAGGGTGTAGGCAGCAGGATAACCAACCCATGGAGTCAGCTCCGACGGATCTGCACTGAGAAGTTGTTCGGTCTAATTTCTCTCGGGCGGCCCCATCTCACTTTTTTTTCTTTCTTTTTCTTTTTTTCTTACTTCGCCTGGGCTGGCGTTTCGAATGGGCTTTTACCTACCGAATGTGGTGAGAGTCGGTGCGGGGGCCTTGTCTGTCCATGGGTGGATGAAACCGAAAGCTCCGATATGCTTATGCTGGGCATCGGCACTTGGCATTGATTGATTGCAATATGGAATTCGCAAGACTCAGGAGATGCCAGGGTGCTGTAGCAGTGGGTGCTTGCACATGTCAGATGAAATGCAAGAGAGGCGAAGAGGAGAAAAGGAAATCTTGATATCAAAATGGAGGAGGTTGTGTGTGATGACATGACTCTGGTCTGCGAATCAAAGAGTGCGAGTTCAACTTGTAAAATTGCCAGGGATGGTTGGCTGCTTTGCCCTAAGACACCAGACTGCGCCCGAGACAAAGGGAAGAGTCGGTGGCTTGGAGTGTCAGCCTTCCCGACACCCGGAGAGGTAAGTGGATGGCAGCGACGAAGTGTATCGGAGTGAAAAGCTGGTGGTTTCAGAGGCGGTTGGGAAGGGGGCCGTCATTGGCTGCGGGTGGCTGCAGCAGTGGTGAGGTGCTGAGCAGGGCCCCCAGTGATCGGCAAGCACCTGAGGGCTAGGCCAAAGGTTGTCGAAGCGCGCACTGGCAGCTGGCGGGTTCTGCAACACGCTAGCCTGGAAGCAGCAGCGCAGCGCATAGGGATGTGCGTGAGTGGGTGTGGCGCCTGAGACGAGACAGGAACTGGCTCTGGACCATCCCATCACCAGCTGCTTCAGCCGCCAGGGGTTTTCTCTCCGGCACAGCGGCAATGCGCGTCACCGACGGACCATTCCCCTGGCTGCTGGCCTGCGCTGGCTGCCGGCCGGGGCTCGCCTTGACTATGTGGACGAACAGGCCCCATCGGCGACTTCCCATCCCATCAAGCCTCCCTGCCCTCCTAGACACATGATACTTGTTCCAGAATGCCACCATTCTCACATACCCAATCGAGTCTAAGTCAGGGCAGGCTGGCGTCTATCCGTCCTCCACTCGCTTTGAGTCAACAACCAGCTTCCCAGGCTGGCGGGAGATCCCCCGCCCCGCCCACCGCTGTAGCTGTGTCGTGTTGGAGCAAGCACCGTCAATCAATCAGACACCGCTCACGTACCTGTACGTGACAGTGACGGGTGAAGCGTTTGGCAAGACGCTAGCCTCCTGGGCTTCTGTGTAAGGGAGGCGAATCGGGCATTCGACCGAGCATTCATTGGGCTACAACGTAACATGAGCAGCCAGGCCAAACCACGGCCTGGTCTGAGCTCTGCCCAACGGGTCAAGCCGAGTCGCTCCCTTTGCGTGCTACACGCCAGCCTGCCCTCCCTCTTGAAGAGGCGCACGGATGCCATGCCTATGGAGCCTCAAGGGGAACAATGGGGAAGTGTGTCTGAGAACCCTAGCAAACATACCCATTGTGTAGGCGCCTGCCTATTGCATGCCTTGCTGTTTCTTGGTGCGTTTTCATCTGGTAAGGCAGAAGGGGTGTGGGTAAGAGGGGGGTAAAGGGGTTGCATGACTTCGAGTTCATGTACAGGGAACAGATGAATTTGTGAACAGTGTCGGTATGGATGAATCGGCACAATACCGTGTAGTCGAGGTGAGCGACGGCCACACCCCTCCCCGAGATACCAAACGCTCCACCTACGTGTGCTCGCCAGTGGCCACAGCTGCAGAGTATAAAGAGCTTCTCATCCTCTCAACTGAGCTTTTCTCTCTCCCAGGTTACACAGCCAACCACAGCCAGGTGCTTTCATTCTTCATTTGTTACAACGTTCTCTCTTGTGTTCATCGAGTGTTCCGCAAGCCAGTTCACTCACAGTCACTGACGTCTTGTTCTGCGAACAAGTCTCATCATTCATTCAAAACAAACTCTTTCAAGAACACGCTTCTTTTTCCAGCTTTGAGCCGCGCTCACATCTTGGTATATACCCATTCACACCTGGCACCCAGACCTTCACTCTCGAACCAGCCACCGACGCTCTCTACGATCTGGCTATCTAGCATCGTCCTGGTTCCGACCTGAATTTCTCGACACTACAGCAAAACTCTCGCGAGCTATTCAAAACAACCTTCATTTTTCGCTCACCATGAAGTACCAATCAACTCTCGGCGCCGTCATCGGACTGGCTTCCATGGCCGCCGCCCACATGCAGATGAAGAGCCCCCCTCCTCTGCGATCTCAGTACAACGAATACACCACCGATGCCGACTACAGCATGACCAGCCCCCTGGATCAGAGCGGCAGCAACTTCCCTTGCAAGGGCTACCACTCGCTTCTTAGCACCGACCAAGGCAAGTCTGTCGCCACATGGCAGCCAGGTTCCTCCCAGAGCATGACCATCACCGGCGGAGCATCCCACAATGGTGGCAGTTGCCAGGCTTCCCTCTCCTACGACGGTGGTAGCACCTGGAAGGTCATCCACTCGTACATTGGTAACTGCCCTGTCACCGGTGACTCGAGCTACGACTTCACCGTTCCCTCTGATGCCCAGAGCGGTGCCGCCTTGTTTGCTTGGACCTGGTTCAACAACGTTGGGAACCGCGAAATGTACATGAACTGTGCCTCCGTCACTATTGGCGGTGCCAGCAAGCGCGACGTCTCTGCTTTCAGTACCTTGCCTGACATGTTCGTTGCCAACGTTGGCAATGGCTGCAGCACCGTTGAGGGCAGCGACGTTGAGTTCCCCAACCCTGGCACTGAAGTCACCAACAACTCCAAGAAGACTTCTCCCCCATCCGGTAGCTGCGGCTCGAGTGGCGGCGGCGGTAACTCTCCCTCCAGCTCGGCCAGCGCTGCTCCGTCTCCCACAGCCCAGCCCACCGCCACTCAGCAGCCTACTTCTGTCCAGCAGCCTACTTCTACCAAGCAGCCCACTAGCTCTGCTTCCAAGCCGCCAACTACCTCTGCTTCCAAGCCGGTCACCACTCCTGGTGCTTCTCCTACCACTACTCTGCAGACAGTCACCAAGTCTTCTTCTGCTGCCGCAAGCCCAACTCCCACTTCGGGCACTCCTTCTGGTGGCTTCCCTAAGGGCCAGGCTTGCACCCCTGAAGGTGAATGGAACTGCGTTGGTGGAACTCAGTACCAGCGCTGTGCTTCCGGCCAGTGGTCAGCTCTCCAAGCCGTGTACCCCGGCACCACCTGCACTCCAGGCCAGAGCTCAGAGCTTGCTGTGGTCCGCCGCTCTGCCCGTAGCCCCAGGAGCTTGGGCGAGGTGGTGAGATCTCTCTGGATGTAAATCCAGGTTCCTTCCACGCTGCGACTGCTCACTCATTCAGGGGGGTCCTGAAGGTACATAGATGCTTTGTTTGGCTTTCATTCGACGCATGGTCGCTCTTTTTTTTCCTTCTGTTTTTCAAAATCATGATTACGCATTAGCAATGTCACTCGCCCATGGGTTAGCATTTCCCTGCGAGTGCTGGAGTTTTCGGTCTCGTCTTACGAGACGTGGCCTTGTTTTATGATGATCAAGTAGAAGATAAATGATACTTTGCTCTTCTTAGTTCTTTTCGGTTGCACCTAAGTGAATGATCTTGCAAATAATGAAGTGAGCCTGGGTGTCATGAATAGCAGGGCATGTCATTGCAGTGAATGAGCCTGAGAGATACTTGACTCGCGTTGTCTAAAAGGCACAATGAGAGGAATCCACTGTTTCACTCAGGGGTGGGAATATGTGTGGCTGGGCTGAGCCACACCAGGCAGTAAGTGCCGTGACTCGTAATGTTCAGCTACCTTGCTGTGGCTGTGTTGCTACACATACGCACTCATTCAGTGATAGACTGGCCTGGTCGAACCTCTCGGCTCTTCCCTTTAATCCCTACTAGGAAGATACACACATGTCCAGACTCTGGGGCAACGGAAGTCTGGCTTATCCAGCCTCCACCCAGGCCGCAGTCGTCCCGGCGCATGTTCTGGTCTCCTCCTGGAGATGTCGAAGCAAAGCATTTTGACCGCCACAACTGGTGCTTATTTGTCAATCGTGCCCTGCCAAATGTACTTGCCAGTGAATGTGGATGTCGATGCGACCCTGCATATCGCCATCAACCAGAGAGATGATCCTGCTTACAAGCACAGTCCAATCAACCCATCCCTCCTACCCGCTGCTTGCAGCATTGTAATTCGCTAGACATGCAGCGCCGGCCAGCTAGGCGTGTGGCATAGAAAAAGGAAAGACAATTGTCATCAGCCCCGTCATTCGGTATAATTGCGAATTGTTGTACATACTTGGGAGGTCGGGCAGGTAGTAATTCTAAGCCCACTTCTCCCCACTCTGGTTGTCCTTCCCTTGTCTGCTGGTCCATGCGGATAGCCGTAGCAAGATTCAGGCGATACCTAATGATGGAATTCCTACCCAAGCCCGAATGAAGCACAGTCACACGTACGCGGATGGGGAGATTGTGACGGACACCAGGCACTTAGTGCTGGGCGGGTGGTACCCAGGTACCTACATATAAATGCCGAGACTGACATGGCTGCTGGTGTTGGAGAAAAAAAAAACTTGCTTGTATTAGCTGAGAGTGAACAAGGTACAGAAGAAGCATTTGCGGTAAGTGGCGGCGCGCCCTCTGACCTGCCCACCCCCAAAAAACAAGACCACCACTACCACCTCCGCCCTCCCTCCCGTCCCTCTCCTCTGCTTCTTCCATCTCTGGATCTCCCGATCTTGAGTTCGAGGGACGTCTGAGCTCCTCCAGAACCGTACCAATCCGCTCCCTTCCTCCCCAGCCTCGCACACCAACCACATCATGGCTGGACCTACATCTCCCAGCGCTGACGGTCCCACGTTTGCCCCGCCACAACTCCCCGCAGGCTGGATCGCTCAGTGGGATGGCGCGAGCAAGAAATACTACTATGTGCAGTTATCGACGGGAGTTTCGCAATGGGAGATTCCCACGCAGGCTGTCCAGACCGGCAATACGCCTGCTCAGCAGGCAGAGCACCCATACGGTACTCCTCAGCCAGAGGTCATCACCCATCCTGACGGCAGCCAGACAATTCGGCACTCCGACGGCACCATGGAGCCCATTTTGCCTCCTGGCTTGAACGCTCCCGGCAATGGCCCAACCGGCGACCGTGGTCTAGGTGTAAGTTGCTCTCCCAATCGCCCTCTGTTTTACTTTCTCCGGTCGTGGGCGCACGAGGCTGACCACCCCTGGTCTATCTAGTCTATGGCGATGAACGCCCTGATGGGCGGCGGCAAGAACTCCGGCGGTAACCACGGCTCCTCCTCCTCGAATCCCCTTGGCGGTCTAGCGAGCTCCTTTCTTTCGGGCGGACACGGAAACAGCGGTTCACACGGTAGCAACCAGGCTCATAGTTCAAGCCCGCTGTCTGGCATCGCCAGCTCCCTGCTTGGTGGTGGTAGCAACTCGTCTGGTCACAACAGCGGTGGTAAGAACTCCGGCGCTGGAAAGCTTGTTGGACAGCTCGCATCGAGTCTGCTCTCCTCGAACAGCAGCAGCAAACCTCAACAACCGCAAAACTATCACGGTAGCCAATCTTCTGGCCAGTCGTCCCAACATCACGGTCTCGCAGGCGCCATGATGGGCGGCGTGGCCAATCTGATGGGTGGAAAACCCCATGGCAACAGCGTATGCACTCTTCCTTCTACTTGGTTCCTTCTACTTGGTAATACAGCATATTGTCTCGGGGTTCACTGACATGGTTTTGCATACAGAATCAGAACTTCGGCTATTCGAACTCAGGTACAGGCGGTGGTTATTCTGGACAAGCACCCACGTACCAGCCACCAGGTGGTGCCCCCCCTTCCTCCTCCTCCGGGCAATCCTATCAGTCGCCTGCTCCCAACCAACAACAGCAAAGCGGCGGCAATCACAATCAATACGCACCACCAACTGGCGCCCCGCCGCAAGGCTACTACACGCCCCCCAACCAGCCGCCACATGGTACTCCTCAAGGCCAGTCGCCCTATGGTGGATATTCTCACAGCCCCCAACCGCCCTCAGGTGGCCCTGGTGCGCCTTACTCTCAAGGACAACAAAACTATGGAGCACCTCAGCATGCGCCTCCCCAAGGAGGCCCCCCCCAATACGCTCCTCCAGCTGGTGGTTATGGCAATGCCTACCCCGGTGGCCAGCACGGCCAGGGAAACTATGGCGGGCAACCTCCATACGGTCAGCAACCCGCACAGGGATACGGCGCTCCTCATTACTGAAGAGCTCAGCATGAGGATATGAGATGTGATGCCGTTGCCCGGAGTGTTATCCATCCCGAGCCAGCTATGCCATCTTGCAGACCTGTCGAGGATACACTGGCTGGGCAGTGAAGAGGGGAGGAGGTGTTGCATACATTCTTAAATGTCTCCAACCCGGGAAGACACATTCGTTTGCAGTCCCAGTGGTTCATCAAGATGCATGATTAATGATTTGCGCATATTCTTTTTTGGCAAATTTGCAGCCCTTATCTGTAGATAGCGGAGTACTGTCCAAAAAATATTTCGTCCCATGTTCCGAGTTTTTACTGCACCTTTTTCTGAGCGGCAGGGGCATCACCGGCAAAGGATCGCAGAGAAGTAGCGACCCATCTGGCAACAAACCAAGTGAGTATGGAGAAGCAGACGATGTATCCCAGCGTTGGAAGTAGTGAACGGGGGAGAAGGTTGTATAGAAACGGGTCCAGGGTGAGGTCGACCAAGACTGGGGGAGGGTTCCTCATGAGCTCCTGATCATGTGTGAAGTAGTCTGCTGTGACGTGGATCCGTAGGAGGAGGACGGACGACTTCCTCTCTCCTGCGTCGTCCTGGGTGGGACGGTAGACCCGTGGCTTTGGGTCGGGGTTGGCGGCTTCATCATCCTGGCGGGAGGTGGCATATTCAGCGAGGGACTGGATGAGTTCCGGCGTGTCCCAGACAGTGTTGAGCTCAAAGACATCCAGAGCAAAATTTGTTGGTTCCTTTTTTTGGTATTCAGTTATTAAACTCTCTTGTTTTGGGAATAATATAGATAGAGGAAAGAATCATTATATGGCGATAGGCTATACATACAAGAGCAGCCCAGCACACACGGAGCTCGTATCTCTGCCCCTCTGTGAGTGTGTCGATGAGAAGCCAGGTAGCAGGGGGGTCGACGCCCTCCTGGGGGAATTGGCGGGCCAGGCGAGTGCGGATGGTGTTGCCCGTGGTCTCGGGCGTGAGTGTGTGGAGATTGAGGTCGGAGAGCGTGGGTTTCTGGAGTGGGATGTTGACGGTGGCAGGGCCGAGGAATATGGCTTTCTCCACGTTGGCCGAGGTGAAGGTTGTGAGAGCCCCAACGAGGAGGAGGAGAGAAGTGAATAGCCTTGGGGCTAGGGGGGTTGATGGGATTAACATGATGGTGAAGGGTATTGTCCGTTGTTGTCTCTCCTGGTTCGGGCTAATGTCTTTCTACGGTTGGCGTTGGATGGCGGTGATGTGTGAACTGGCGATGGCCCGTACGTCACTGCCAGCTGTCAGAGTATCAGTCAATCTGGCCCGGTGCCTGTCTGATCCCTGTAGCAGCCCTCTTGGGTGGTCTGTGTGGCATCTGTGTGGGTTGATAATCTAGCTGCCTCGCTTGTTGCCGCGGAGTACTCGGGTGAATATTATGACATGAAGATTTGTGTTATTTGTCTGCCTGGTACTTGATCAAATTTATGATTGCCACCATGTATTACATTGCCCTGAATTTAAAAGGGGCATTCAGGCAAACCTCGTTAACGAGGGACGAGCTCCCCACAATTATACCCGTTTTAGCAGATATCTCAATGTTAGCTCTGTTGCGCGAGAAGTAAACAAAGCTGGTGCCTGACTGGACCTCTGCAGGTAGCATAAACAATACAGACAGACCCCGACCATGGTATTACGCCGGGTCTAGAATAAATTACAAAACAACGCCCCTAGAGCGTCACGAGAGCTTCAGCATCCAACAATGACCGAGGCGGGAGAGCACATGGCTCAGGAGCATCAAGGTTGGGCTGGACCACAGGGTAGGCATTAATAATTGAGCAGGGCTTGTGTTTAGGGGTCTAAAATGGTTCACCGCAGGTTGGGCGGGAGAGGTCATATCCATACCCTGCTCGCTTATTTGTCCGCATGTCAAGCCAAACACGGGGAATTAAGCCCTCGAAATCATCTGTCAGGCGAGTCCTTTCCCCCTGAGGCGTGGAAATAGCTGGATAATAAGTAGAGCGGGTGGGATGGGATGATTTTCATTTGGGCTCCCGAGTCGAGATAATAAACAATAATTGGCAGCACCTGTACCGCAGACGCGCTTACCCTATCCAGGCACGCTCCTCAAAGTCAACAAATCCCGGCCTGGCAAGCAGTCCCCTCCCCCCTGTTATCCAAATTTCCCCCCCACCTATTTTGCTGGGTCCATCTCTACTAATTCACCCAACAACGTCCTACTTTCTCCCGTCTTCCTCTCTCGATCACCCCGTGCCCAAGCCTGTTTGGACTCTCTACAGCCCGTGAGCTTGTGTTGCTGCTTCCTGTTCCTACCAACTTATTTTGTTTCCCATATCCATTCACACAGTCCAACCATGCGTGAGGTTATCAGTATCAACGGTTAGTGCTCGGATGCCCACCAACGCGTCCTCACCGCTGTGTCTTTTGCTGTGAGGACCCGACCGACTTGATAAGTGTACTGACGAGATGGGATAGTCGGCCAGGCTGGTTGCCAGATTGCCAACTCCTGCTGGGAGGTGAGTCCAACCTTGGGGGACACCATCCTCATCATACCGCGAGAGCAACAGTGAAACCGAAGCTAACCCCTCCATAGCTCTACTGCCTCGAGCACGGCATCCAGGTAAACACCCAACACGACCATGATGATCAGCGAACCCGGGAAAAAAAAAAACTGACACAAGCTCTAGCCCGATGGTTACCTCACTGAAGAGCGCAAGGCTCAGGACCCCGACCAGGGCTTCAGCACTTTCTTCTCCGAGACTGGTACGAAGCTCCAGACGACTCCTCTTTTCTCCTCCTGGATGGTGGTAACGGATATCTAACCAACAACTCTTCACTGTTTATAGGCCAGGGCAAGTACGTTCCCCGTGCTATCTACTGCGATCTCGAGCCCAATGTCGTCGACGAGGTCCGCACCGGTGCCTACCGCAACCTTTTCCACCCCGAGATGATGATCACCGGCAAGGAGGATGCCTCCAACAACTATGCCCGTGGACACTACACAGTCGGCAAGGAGCTGATTGATGGCGTCCTCGACAAGATCCGCCGTGTTGCCGACAACTGTGTTGGACTCCAGGGCTTCCTGGTCTTCCACTCCTTCGGTGGTGGTACTGGTTCCGGTTTTGGTGCCCTCCTGATGGAGCGTCTGTCTGTCGACTACGGCAAGAAGAGCAAGCTCGAATTCTGCGTCTACCCTGCCCCTCAGACTGCCACCTCCGTTGTTGAGCCTTACAACTCCATCCTCACCACCCACACCACCCTCGAGCACTCCGACTGCTCCTTCATGGTCGACAACGAGGCCATCTATGACATCTGCCGCCGCAACCTCGGCCTGGAGCGTCCCAACTACGAGAACCTGAACCGCCTGATTGCTCAGGGTAGGATATGACCCCGAAAACTTGCCACTGAGCTTGTCCACGGTTGTGCTGACTATGATATAGTTGTTTCTTCCATCACCGCCTCTCTTCGTTTCGACGGTTCCCTTAACGTTGATCTGAACGAGTTCCAGACCAACCTGGTCCCTTACCCCCGTATCCACTTCCCTCTCGTCGCCTACGCTCCAGTTATCTCTGCTGCTAAGGCCGCTCACGAGGCCAACTCCGTCCAGGAGATGACCATGTCCTGCTTCGAGCCCAACAACCAGATGGTGAAGTGCGACCCCCGCCACGGCAAGTACATGGCCACCTGCCTGTTGTACCGTGGTGATGTTGTGCCCAACGATGCCCACGCTGCCGTTGCCACTCTCAAGACCAAGCGTACCATCCAGTTCGTCGACTGGTGCCCCACTGGTTTCAAGCTTGGTATCTGCTACCAGGCTCCTGAGAACGTCCCCAACGGCGATCTCGCCAAGGTCAACCGTGCTGTGTAAGTCCCTTCCCCTCCCCCAAATCAGTAATTTTGAGAAAATTTTCTGACTTCTTTTTCTTCCAGGTGCATGCTTTCCAACACCACTGCCATTGCCGAGGCTTGGTCATCTCTTTCGACCAAGTTCGATCTCATGCACTCCAAGCGTGCTTTCGTGCACTGGTACGTTGGTGAGGGTATGGAGGAAGGTGAATTCTCCGAGGCCCGTGAGGATCTCGCTGCTCTGGAGCGTGATTACGAGGAGGTTGCCCTTGACTCTCTCGATGCTGAGGAGGTTGAGGAGGCTGAGTATTAGATTGAATCTGTAAGGCGATGAAGTTAAACTTCGGCTCCTCTTAGTATGAGCTCTCTATTTTAAAACTGTTGGTCAAAGCCATGATTTTGTGGTCTTCTTCCATTCAAGACGCTCCCCCATACACCTGTCTTAATGATTTCCCTTCTTTAAAATACAAACATCTTACAGACGATCCTGAATCCAAAAAGTATTTGGCCCGTATGCGTGTATTGTATTCTTTTCCGCAGACCGTAGCTCGTTTGTAATGCTAGCTGAGAGCTGGAGGGGAAAAGAGGGACCTAGGCTTCGTTTGACCCCGGATTTCGGTGGCGCTGGCAAAGCCGACGATAGGCGACAAGGGACGACTCCAACCTGCACCCTACATCTAAAACGTCACACCCATTCGGGCAATTGTCCGACCACCAATTCTTCTATTCGAACCTGTCTTGAACTCGCCTTACAATGAGTCTCTTCCGCTCGGCAGCCTGCAGAGCCTGCAGAAGCTCAACGATTCGATTCCGCCGAGGTTTTGCGACAGCTAGCACCCAGCAGCCCAGCCAGTCAGCCCACGACAACCATGTGCGGATTGTTGAGGTCGGGCCTCGGGATGGACTCCAAAACGAAAAAATCTCTATCCCACTCCATACCAAGATAGAGCTTATTGAGCGGCTAGCAAAAACCGGCGTTTCAACAATTGAAGCCGGGTCCTTTGTCTCGCCAAAATGGGTTCCCCAGGTAGGTGCTCCGAAGCGTCGCCCGTCACCCCGCCCCGAGCAGCTTCATGCTAACCTCTGCCTGCCCAGATGGCGAATTCGAGCGAGATCCTGGAACACATTCTCCAGCAGAAGATTGCATCCCCCGTCCCCGTGTCGTACTCCTTCCTGGCGCCGAACCTCAAGGGTCTCGAGAACGCAGCTGGTCTGCTGAGGCAAAACCCAGGGGCGTTTGCGACCCAGCTCAGCCCTGCGGCCGAGGGCGAGAAGGTCTCGACGCCGGAGATTGAGGTGGCGGTGTTCGCGGCGGCGACGGAGAGCTTCTCCCAGAGGAACCTGAACTGTGACATACAGACCTCCCTCGAGCGGTTCAAGGCGGTGATCCAGGACTCCAAGGCCATCGGTCTACGCGTGCGAGCCTACATCTCCGTGGTGCTGGGGTGCCCCTTTGAGGGGTTCGATGTCGACCCTCACAGGGTGGCTGAGATTGCCGCGGACCTGCTGGAGTCTGGCGCGGATGAGATATCGCTGGGCGACACGACGGGCATGGGCACGGCGCCGCGGACGAGCAACCTGCTCAAGTGCCTGACGGCTGCGGGGATCCGGACCGAGGACACGGCCATGCACTTTCACGACACGTATGGGCAGGCCCTTGTCAACACGGCCGTGTCGTTGGAGCACGGGATCCGGACGTTTGATAGCAGCGTGGGCGGGCTGGGTGGTTGCCCGTACAGCCCTGGGGCAACGGGCAATGTTGCCACCGAGAACATGGTATATTTCTTGGAGACTCTGGGGATGAATACGGGCGTGGACTTGGATGCGATGGCGGATATTGGCTCTTGGATTTCTGGGGAGCTGGGCAGGCAAAACGATAGCAGTGTGGGCAAGGCTGTACTCGGTGCCCGAGCAAGGGAACAATCCGAGGCTACGAAGGGGGCGTAAGGGGTGTGAGATATCCTGTAATTCAAAATGCGAATATGTATTTTCTGGGCTGAAATGAGCAGTCTTATACAGTTGACAGCGGCCTCAAGGTTAAGCAAGTGATGCTCCTGTCTAATATGGCGGAGTGTGTTGGTGTTGTGGTACCATCTCTAGCTACACAAACGCACCGGAAGCTGATTTTGACTAGGTTCAAGGTCCCTAAGACTTGTTTACTCTCTTCTTTTTCTGGAAATGATTTTTAATGATTTATAGAGCCTTATTGAGGTGAGGTTGGGCCTTGAAAGGCTGGCAATGGTGCGGCCGCTGGAGCTCCAGTCATGTGATGTCACAGCTCTAGAAGGTCAAGCAATTGGGCTCCACTCTTGCTGCACCTGCCTCACCTCAACATCTACGTTGATCTCCAATCCTCAGCTGTGAGGCCTCGACGCTCTACCTCAGGCCAACCTATCCATCGCCGCGCCGTCCCCCACCAACCTCCATCCTCGTCGAGAGCCTCGAATCAGCGCTCACCCCCCTTCATCCCCCTCGACTCGCTTCCTGGACGAATTTCACTCGCACTAAGGACAGTTAGCCACCATGTCAGACCCCCGTGAGCCGGCGTCATACTCGGTTGTGCCGAGACTTCGGTACAACACCGTTGGCGGTATCAACGGCCCTCTGGTTATTCTTGAGAATGTATGCATTGGATAGGGTGGAAGCGAGGGCGGAAAGGGGAAACCCCTCTTTCGTCATGAACCCTGGGATGCGCGCTGACGTACTGGGTCCCTAGGTCAAAAACCCCAAGTACAACGAGATTGTCACCCTCACTCTGGGCGATGGCACACAACGATCCGGTCAGGTTCTGGAGGCTCGAGGTATGGGAATCCGAGCAATTCTTCAACTATAGGGTGCTAATCAGAGCTATGTGATAGGTGACCGAGCTGTTGTCCAGGTACTACGCGATTCTACTTAATTGGTGGCTGGGACAACCACTGACTGGCTGATTTCTAGGTCTTCGAAGGAACTTCTGGTATCGACGTGAAGAAGGTATAGTGGTGATGTTTCCGCGATTGCTGGGTTGTCCGCTAATGTGTATGCCGCCCCCAGACCAATGTCGAGTTCACAGGACAGAGCTTGAAGCTCGGTGTCTCAGAGGACATGCTTGGCCGAGTCTTCGATGGATCTGGTCGAGCCATGGACAAGGGCCCCAAGGTCTTGGCTGAGGATTACATTGATATCAACGGAAGCCCTATTAACCCATTCTCCCGAGTAAGTTGGCAGATTGTTGGTAGCACGGATGGGGAGCATATGCGCTGACCCGACTCGACCAGGAATACCCCGAGGAAATGATTTCGACTGGTATCTCCGCCATTGACACCATGAACTCAATTGCCCGTGGCCAGAAGATCCCTATTTTCTCCTCAGCTGGTCTGCCTCACAACGAAATTGCCGCCCAGATTTGTCGACAGGCAGGTCTTGTCAAGAAGCACGGTGTCACCAACAAGGGTGTTCATGATGGCCACGAGGACAACTTCTCCATCGTCTTCGGTGCCATGGGTGTTAACTTGGAAACCGCCCGTTTCTTCACCAACGATTTCAAGCAGAACGGCAGTCTGGAGCGTACCACACTGTTTGTTAACATTGCTAGCGATCCTACGTACGTTTCTCCCTCCTCTGATTGGAAACTAGTTGCGGTTGTGCTAACGGCCTGTACAGCATCGAACGTATCATCACACCTCGTCTTGCTCTGACGACGGCTGAATACTACGCCTACCAGCTCGAGAAGCACGTCCTGGTCATTCTTACTGACTTGTCTTCTTACTGCGATGCCCTCCGTGAGGTCTCGGCGGCCCGTGAAGAAGTCCCAGGTCGACGTGGTTACCCCGGTTACATGTACACTGATTTGTCGACCATCTACGAGCGTGCTGGACGTGTGACTGGCCGCAATGGCTCCATCACCCAGATCCCAATTCTGACCATGCCCAACGAGGATATCACTCACCCTATTCCTGATCTCACTGGTTATATTACTGAGGGACAGATCTTCGTCGATCGTCCCATGTACAACCGCGGTATCTACCCCCCCATCAACGTGCTTCCATCGCTGTCGCGTCTGATGAAGTCTGCCATTGGTGAGGGTATGACTCGTCGTGACCACGGTGATGTTTCCAACCAGTTGTACGCCAAGTACGCCATCGGTCGTGATGCCGCTGCCATGAAGGCCGTGGTGGGTGAGGAAGCTCTGTCAAACGAAGACAAGCTCTCTCTCGAGTTCCTGGACAAGTTCGAGCGTCAATTCATTAGCCAGGGTGCCTACGAATCTCGCAGCATTTTCGAGTCTCTTGATTTGGCATGGAGCCTCCTCCGTATCTACCCCAAGGAGCTTCTCAACCGTATCCCCGCCAAGATCCTCAACGAGTACTACCAGCGTGCCCAGAAGGAGGCCAAGTCAAAGGGAAAGCAGAAGGCTGCCGCTGACGCCACAAGCCAGCAGCAGGCCGAGGGAAACCTGGTTGAAGTGTAAATGAAGACATACACTCACTGAAGGAGATGGGAGACAAAGCATTGGGGGGAGGGGAATTGATAATAGATAGATGGAGCTCGCAGGCTTTGGAGCATTGTTTTTGTTTTTGGCAGACCGTCCAATCGAGTCCTCGTGTTTGTATACGTTCTGTAGGCTGCGTGAAGCGGGAGGTTATGATCATCCATTTGCAAGGTTCACAGTTCAATGCCATGCAGTATTCTTACATTCGCGGACCCCATGCTGTCGATATTGTGATGAACAATTCGTTTTCTTAACTGGCAAATGACGCCTTCTGCGAGGGCGGGGGGCCCTTGTTGATTTCTTTTTCTTTTCCCACCAGGCTACCGAGCAGGCTATTGTCGGCTGTGTCTACGCATATACGGTGGGATATGCCTCGTGCATCTTTGGGTTGGGAGTGGACTGATGACGGGGTGGAGACAATGCTTTCGGCCCTTTTTTTCCCTTCTTCGAGAGGAGCTCCAGCTAATTGGTTTTGACTGCTGTTGACGGGCAAGGTAGAGTAGAGTGAGGGAGAGTCCATGTGTAATACCGGCAGGGATGTTGCCAGTGAAATGATGTATGGATGGGATGCGGTCCTGATTTGATGGGGGGCGGCATCATCCCCCGCATCTGTCCCGAGCAACGGACAAGGGAGCAGGCGGGGGAGGAACTGAAAGTACCGAAGGAAGGGCGCCCGACAATGGTTCGAGGGATGCGCACCAATCGGTCAATTCATCCATCATCTCACCCGCTTTTCTCCCACTGCAAATGCCACGACTAGGGATGGGATGGGAAAGGGCGAGGTGAAGGGCAGGCGATCGATATGCCTTCTGGCTCGAACTGCCTTGATCTAATGCATGTAAGTTGGTCTATGTTTGATGGATGCCACATTGCCAGTCACTGAGACATGAGGTAGCATGGCAACAGCGGCGCTGAGCACACACACACACACACACCGATGGTCTCCCTTCGGGGTATCCCAGTGATGGTTACATACATGACCTATGTTGGCCCGGGGCCCTGGGCTTGACATCATAGCAGCACCAATGACAACCTCCCGGGTCTCCATATACACGGAGCGCCAGGCTATTCCCACGAGACACACGATTCCCGGGGCTCCAGTCATCGTCGCATTCACCCAGAGCTTGCACGCATAGACGCACCACTCGCGGTTAAGATCGCCATTCCCTTCCGGGAAGGACGAGCACACTGCTTTCGTGGGGAAGAGCTCTGACCCCACGAGGGTCGCGGGGAAGCCTGGGGCGAACTTTTGTTTTTCTTGTTGTTCTGCTCGAGCTCGTTGCGGCCTGCCTCGCGGAATTGGCTTGCCGACTTGTTGGGGGCTGCCGTGTATAAAGGGCTTGCCTCCCTTGAGCTCCCCGTCTGGCCTGCCTGCCGGGCCCATTGCTTCTCCATCCTCTAGGAACACAAGCCATTGGTTCATCAGAAAGCTATTTCGTGCCATTGGACACTGCCTTGAACGCAAAGATGAAGTGGAGCAACCACATCGTCGGCCTCGTGCTGCCAGTATTGGGCGTTGCTGCTCAGAACAGCACCAAGCCCGTGGCGGACAAGAATGGCAAATACTGGATCTCGAGCGGCAGCCTCAAGGCCGGCTTCGTCCCCTACGGAGCTGCCATCTCCGACCTGTACATCAACGACAAGTACGGCGTCCAGAGGGATCTCATCGCCGGGTGGGAGAATGCCAGCTACTACGGCATTGACGCCCAGCACCCAAACTACGGCAACGTCCCCGGGCGGTATGCGAACCGCATCAAGAACAGCACGTTTGAGATTGACGGCGAGACGTACCACATCACCCCCAACGAGCACCCTACAGAAGAGAACCCGGACGGAATCATCTCGCTGCACGGTGGCAAGGACGGATGGGGCTGGCGCAACTTCACCGTCGTCGCCCACACGGACTCGAGCATCACCTTCTCCATTGTCGACCCGGACGGCAAGGAGGGCTTCCCCGGCGAGGTCATCTCCTACGTGACGTACACCCTGGAGGGCTTTGACTGGCACATCAGCATGGTGGCCGTCCCGACGACCAAGGCCACGCCCATCATGCTCAGCAGCCACACGTACTGGAACCTCGACGGGTTCGCCAACAACGAGACCCAATCGGCACTCAACCACACCCTGCACCTGCCCTACAGTGGCCAGCGCGTCGCCGTGGACAACGTCCTGATCCCGACGGGCGAGATCCAGGCCAATGCCAAGGGTTCCGTCAACGACTTCTGGAGCGCCCCCAAGCAGCTTGGCGCATCATTCAGCGATCCTGAGATTGTCAACAACTGCGGTCTCAACTGCACTGGCTATGGTAAGTCTCCCCCCATCAGATAAATGGAAGGAGGAGGGTCATGACTGGATCGAACATGTAACTAACACGCACTTCGCCTAGACAATTGCTGGACGGTGAACCGACAGTCGCTCGGCAACTATGACTGGCGCACCCACAGCCCCGTCGCGAGCATCTCGTCGGCGTGGTCGGGCATCAAACTCGACATCTACACAAACCAGGACGCCTTCCAGGTGTACAGCTGTAACGGGCAGAACGGCACCCTCACCCTCAAGGGGTCGCAGGGCCTGACCGACAACGCCGACTTCCCCCGCACCATCCCCAAGTACGGCTGCGTGGTGCTGGAGGTGCAGGACTACATTGACGGCATCAACCACCCGGAGTGGCACCGCGAGCCGAAGCAGATCTTCCGCCCCGGTGGCGATCCATATGTGCTGCAGGCGAGATACCACTTCAGTGTGGGTGAGGAGGAGCATTAGAATACAGATGTGATGGGATGGGATGGGATGGTTTAGTCCATAATGATGTGTTTTATTCGTTCAATAGTTAGATTCGTAATGTGTCTATACACGCCCAGAGAATTGAGCTGTTTTAGAAAATCGTTCTGGCTGGCGATTAGAATTGGCGATGCTGAGAAGTGATGCTGAAAAGTGATGTGAATGCCGTCGGGATTGGAGGATGATTATTTATGATGGTGGAGGGGTCCTTCAGTTGGGAGAAAAAAACCATGGTGGGGTGGTACAAGTTGAATGGTAGAAAAATGCACGTAGCGACATGTACCCCCCACCATCAGTCGCCAAACTCATCACTGCAGTCATGCCTGAATATTTTGCACATCCCACCTAGAACAGCACATCTGAGGACCAGCATTTCTCTTGCAAATAGACCATTTTTACTATATATATTTTGAACCCATAGACTCACCTCCTGTGACTCATCTAAGATGGAGGAGGACAGAGCCCAGACTGACCTGGGCATCGCTGCGGACATCGAAGAAGCGCAGCGATATGAGAGCGAACAAATACTCACATCAGCGCCAGAGACAGTAGAGACGCCTGCACCGTCTCAGACCTCAGGACAAACCCCCATCAGACAGCCTAAGAAGAGATTTGTTGGGCGCAGAGCAGCCGATGCCGCTGCTGCAAAGAATGGAAGCACCGCTTCATCCGGAGAGGGCAGTGGTGCCGTGCAACGTGCGTCTCCATCACACTCACGTCTCTCATGTTGACATCAGTTCGTATGATAAGAAACTCATCTGACACTTCCTTGAATATTTAGCTGCCAAGCCCAGGAGAGCACCTCGTCTCTTGAATCAAGTTCCCAAGGAGATTTTGGAGGACCCAAACCTAAAGGCTGCCGTCGGTCTCCTACCATCAAATTACAGCTTCGAGATCCCCAAGACTATCCATCGTATCCGGACGTCAGGTTCCAAGAAGGTCGCCCTCCAGATGCCCGAGGGATTACTCCTTTTTGCCACAACCATCTCGGATATCCTCATGCAGTTTTGCCCAGGCATCGAGACACTCATCATGGGCGATGTCACCTACGGCGCCTGCTGCATCGACGACTACACAGCCAGGGCGCTCGGATGCGATCTCCTCGTCCACTACGCCCACAGCTGTCTTATCCCCGTTGACGTGACAAAGATCAAGACCCTCTACGTCTTCGTCGACATCAGCATCGACGTTACCCATCTCCTTGCCTCCCTCGAGCGCAACTTCCCCACAGGTAAGACCATTGCTGTGGTCGGCACTATCCAGTTCAACGCTACCATCCATGGTGTCAAGAACGCTCTGGAGAGGGCAGGCTTCCGCATCCTCGTGCCTCAGATCGCACCTCTCAGCAAGGGCGAGATTCTCGGCTGCACCTCTCCGCGTCTCAAGGATGACGATGCCGTCGACCTCATCCTGTACCTCGGCGACGGCCGCTTCCACCTCGAGAGTATCATGATCCACAACCCCTCCGTCCCCGCGTATCGCTACGATCCTTACTCCCGCAAGCTCACCCGCGAGACGTATGAGCATGACGAGATGCAGTCCATACGCCGCTCCGCCATCACCACGGCCAAGAAGGCGAAGAAATGGGGGCTCATACTCGGCTCGCTCGGCCGCCAGGGTAACCCGCACACTATGGCCCTGATCGAGAAGAAGTTGACCGAGAGAGGCATCCCCTGGGTCAATCTACTCTTGAGCGAAATCTTCCCAGGAAAGCTGGCCCTCATGAGCGATGTCGAATGCTGGGTCCAGGTTGCGTGCCCACGTCTCAGCATCGACTGGGGCTATGCGTTCCCTAGGCCTCTTCTGACCCCCTACGAGGCCCTTGTCACGTTGGAGGTGAAGGAGGATTGGGGCCAGCAGGCCTACCCGATGGATTACTACGGAAGGGAGGGTCTTGGAAGGACGAGGCCACCCATCGACGTAGGAGGAAAGTAAATGTAAAAATTAAAAATTACTGACACAAGATTCGTCTGATTTCTAAACCTGAGTGAGGTATTGAATTGTGCATGGTTTTGCCTTAACAAACCACTATCCTTCACTTGACAGATTATCTGGATCTCCAATATCCGTAGCATGCGCCGCCCAATGCCTTTACCGTACCTAGACTGGCCCTTCGGCTCTAAACTGGCGTTTCCCTAGTTCAAGGTGGTAAAGCTTTCATCGATATCGAGGTATTTGCTCCCTTCCTCATGCTGGGTTGCCCAAGACAGCACAATTCAGGCTCGTAAGGGGAGCGATACCGGCCAGTCCAGTGAGTGGCTTGTGACATGGACGTGCATTGTTTGAGAGCCTGCTAGCCCATATGACGTGTTAATGACTGTGCCATTCGGGAAATTCGTGTGCTGGACCTCAGTGATCTTCAGTGGTGACTTCGACAGGTGCTATAGCACACATGTTTGCTCGTTTCCAGTTGGTACACTATATCCGCAACATAATGGTCTCTGGCATGACTGTTGGATACGTGAAAGAGCTGGACGCAGTTGGAGATAAAGAGCCACGCCAAGGGCTGAACCAAAGCTTCAAGCTGGGGCATGGGCAGTTCCAACTGGCTCGGGCCGCTGGGAGAAGACAAGCTTGTATTTGACAATCTCCACGACCTCGAGGCTCTCGCCCTCCTCTGCATGCGTGCCTCCCGATCCCTCCTTGGCACGGTTCTCCCGGCGACGGACAACAGCCATCGCCTTTGGAAGCTTCTTCACCTCGCCATGAAGGCGCTGGTGCTGCCCGATGAACAAGTGCACCCGGTTCATCCAATCTGTGCCCTCCTCCCCGGGCTTGTAATCCGGGAACTCAACACTACCGATCTGGAACCCACTGAGAGGCTCGCCTTTGGAATCGCTAGGAAGGTTGATAGTTCCTTGCAATTCTAGGATGGCCAAGCCGGAAGGGGTTTTTAGTAGAGTCGGTAGTGGACTTGAGATTGGTGTATCCCGCTTTGTAGGCGGGTATAATTTTGTCGAGGCCATGTCTTTTTTCCCTTTCAAAAGAGAACTAGTATTTAAGGTCAAGTTGTGGAAATTTGATTTGGAAGCTTATCTTTGCAAATCAATACCAAGACGAACAACGCGTTCAAGCTGATACTTGTCCACCATTGTTTAGGAACCACTCACAATAGAGATGTGGCTTGCCGTGTGGCTGAGTAGGGTGGAGCACAACAGACATGGGGCTGGCTTGAACAAGGTGCCTTACCTAATAATTGATTTTCAGGACAAAGTAGCGGAACGGGAAAGCCTTTCACCGCATTTTTTTTTCTAAGCCTCCGTTTGATTGGCCACACATTCTGCCACCGGAGGGTAGCCCTAGCATCCACACACTTTCTATCATTTCGCCCAAATTTTGTAACCTACCTCCATCCATCCCGCAAATCCCCAAACAACTTTCACAGCCAGGTCAAGTACACTTGCACCACCACAACTGGCAAGATGAAGGTAAGTCGACACCAGCCATTCAGGGAATGCATCTGGAACATGAAGACGAAGTTCGCTATCAATCAAACATTCGAATTGGGAGCTTCCCGGCGCCGCGATGTCAAACGCGAACTTTCTCGACATGCCAGATTTCCTCCCCTCACATGCGTCCATGATCCTCAATAACTAACAATCAATCCAGTTGAA